GTGGGGCCTTTTCCGCAAGGCTCTGGACAGAGGAAGTTTTTGCTAGTTGTTGTGGATTACTTTAGCAAATGGGTGGAGGCTGAGGCGATGGCCAAGATTACCGAGGAGAAGGTCATTAAATTTCTATTTACCAATGTTTGTTGTAGGTATGGCATCCCGCGGGTTATAATTTCTGACAACGGCCCGCAGTTCCGAGGAAAGAAAATTATGGCTTGGTGTGAAGAGATGGGCATAAAGCAACATTTCGCGTCGGTGGCGCATCCTCAAGCAAATGGACAGGCAGAAGTGGCCAACAGGACTATATTACGTGGGTTGCAAACTCGGCTTGGTAGGGCTTCTGGTGCGTGGGTAGATGAATTGGATACGGTCCTTTGGTCGTACAGAACCACGCCAAGGTCAACGACAGGAGAAACTCCCTTCAGCCTAGTATATGGGATGGAAGCTGTGATCCCGGTGGAAATCGGCCTGCACTCTCAGAGGACAGCTACTTTCGAACCAGAGAAGAATGAGGAACTGGTCAGGGAGGCACTTGAACTCATTGATGAAGCTCGAGACCAGGCTTGGATGAGGACCATGCAGTACAAACAGAAAATGTGCCTAGCCCATGCTAAGAAGGTCAAGAAGAGGGATTTCCAGGTGGGTGATCTTGTTTGGAGGAGAGCTGATGTGTTAAAACATGTTGGGAAATTGGAGCCAAATTGGGAGGGCCCATATATTATTCAGAAGGTGTTTGCTGGGGGGGCTTATGAGCTGAAAGATCCGGATGGTAAGGTCTTCCCTAGACCTTGGAATGTTGCCAACCTTAAAAAGTATTATTGTTAGTTTTGACGTCATTTTGAATTATGTTTAAACCTGATGCGTTGAATTATCGAAATTTCAAGTCTTTGGAGTTGTTTTTCGAATAAAGTTTTGGGAACCTGCATAAAAGCGTTTTTAGGTCTGGACTTCTGGATTTCAAATAAAGTTATTTATGATTGGCGCATGCCGCGTTTTGAAAATATGGATGATTTTTTTTTTTTTTTTTTTTTTCCTCTTACCCAGTATAAGTTGCTTAATATAATGCGCTATGTGGTGACGGCTTAAGGCCGGACTCTGATGAGTTCGGGTGCTGTTCGCAATGGTGACGGCTTAAGGCCGGACTCTTATGAGTTCGGGTGCTGTTCGAAATGGTTACGGCTTAAGGCCGGACTCTTATGAGTTCGGGTGCTGTTCGAAATGGTTACGGCTTAAGGCCGGACTCTCATGAGTTCGGGTGCTGTTTGAAATGGTTACGGCTTAAGGCCGGACTCTCATGAGTTCGGGTGCTGTTTGAGATGGTGACGGCTTAAGGCCGGACTCTTAGGAGTTCGGGTGCCGTTCAAAAAGATAGCGGCTTAAGGCCAGACTCTTATGAGTTCGGGCGCTGTCTGCAATGGTGACGACTTAAGGCCGAGTTCTTAGGAGCTCGGGTGTTGTCGAAGGTGAGATCGGCTTAAGACCGAGTTCTTGAGAACTTGGGCGCTGGTCAAACGAGGTACAAATGAGAAGATCTACATTAGGGTGTTGCTTGGTTTTGTATGAACAAAGGATAAACCGAGCAGGAGATGTGTTCCACATAATGTGGCTCGTTTTCTCCACAAATACCATGCGG